CTCTCTCTCTCTCTCTCTCTCTCTCTCTCTCTCTCTCTCTCTCTCTCTCTAGCTCTCTCGCATGTCTCTTGCTTCCAACCTCAACCCCAACTTCACCTCTGCAGCTAACCCTTGGTCACCCTGCATGGGGGTCCTTGTCTCCTTGTCCTTTGGCCAGGAGGCCTGCCCTCAGCCAAGCGGGTAAAGCCACAATTTTGCTCCATGATGGTTTCAGGTTTCAGTTGTCTAAGAGAGAACATATTTATGATGGGTCTTCTGCCCTGTACAGACGTTCAAAGGGTGGTTTGGTACCGATTAGTAATAGTAGAGGTCATCTCCCAACACATTAGAATATGTGTATTGTTCCCCCAATCAGCCATTCAACAAAGATAACACAGCTACAGATAGATAACTAAAGTATATCAAAACAAAATATTAAATTAAGAACCCAGTAAGGTAAAAAGACAGTATATGAAAGCAAAGAATCTAGCACCCGGAAAATTTACAGAGATGCCCTTAAGACATTTACATTTTCTATCTGTGTCAAGTAGCTGTCAATGTAGTCCCTGGGTGTTGATGGGTCCCAATCTTCCTTGTGCTTCTTAATCTGTTCTCTGATAAAGGCTTTCACCTCTCTGTGGTATGAAAAAAGCTGTTTGTGCGGTCCAGGTAGACACTTCATAATCGAAGGGAAGGCATCATACAGCTAAGGACAAAATAAAGGGTAGAGATCGGGTTGTAATTTAAAACTACTTCTTCATACATTGATGGTATTAGTCCCATTAACAGTAAATCCTGTGGTGGTGGTGTGGATAGATTTATAGCATTAGAGCTTTTCTTTCTTGTGACAATCTTTGTGCAATGACAAAACATCTAACTGTGTTGATGTTTCTAAGATGTTTCATAGTAGAGTAAATACAGGAACTGTACACACAAAGAGGTTCAATAAGAAAAATGTTTTCTACCTGGGCCCATATGCTTCCTTCCAAATGCATAATAACTGACATCATATACAGCATCCTCTGGAAACTGTTATTACTGTAATGAAACCGGTGTCCAAAAACCAGAGAGCAGATGATATTGGAAATGCCACAATTCAGAAGGAGATGGGGATTGAAAGGTTTACCTTTAAAACATAAACAAGTTTTAAAAACATAAAATGTGGTTATTATTGGAGTCTGTTCATTGTTCTAATTAAAATGAACAGTAGAGAATGTAATTAATTACAATGGTTTAAATTCAAGTTATTACCTTGCTCTTCCTCTATAGCCTCTTGAAGAAATCTACTCTCATCGGAAATGACTGACTCCAAAGTCTTCCTACCCAGTCCAAAGTCTCTCAGAGTGGAAAGAGCAAATCTTCTCTGCTTTTTCCACCGGTATCCATTGCTTAAGAACAAGCCTGTAGGATAGTAACAAATGACTCTTTGAACTAACATGAAATATAACAAAGTTTTTACACATTAGTTATTTTAAATTGCTGGTATTATATACAGTAACAATGAAATTAGAAATAAATTGAAGATATTGTAGCACCCTCGCCAGGTGGTGAGGAGGAAGTGCACCCAGTCGCTGAGGGTAATGCAGCGCAGGCTGGGGGTTGTAGCCGGGGGGAGTCTGGGGTTAGCTGTGTTCTTGTGTTCTCTGAAGCTTAGCGTCCCATAAGTTAAGTGTGTAGTCTGTTAACGAGTTACAAACCTAAATCTGTGTTCTGTCTGTCCCCTAATGTGTGCACCTGGTGTTGGTGTTCTTGTAAAAGAGAATAAAAGAAAGTGCTTGTGTGCCTACACTGTCCCCTTTTGTCCTTTATCCTGAACAAACCTGTTGTTGCTACAATGTTGATCACAAAAGATATT